ACTAGCACAGCGACATAGACAATGGGGAACAATTTCCTGTGACAGCAGAGTGCACATTGAGCAAGTTAATTCATAAATCTGCAAGTTTTAACTGAATTAGAATAAATGGTCACTGGTGGAGGAGTTAAAATAACACCCTCCAAAACACAAAAACATAACTCTGGGAGGGTGGGGTGGAATGAATTTTCTCGTACATCATGTAAATGCCTTTAAAAAAAAAAGAATTTAGACTTCCTAGGTTCAAATCTCATTTCTTGAGGTAGTGGAATGAAGCTCTTAGTGGTCCTTTGAGAACATTTAAAAAATAAGAAGAAACTGCCTCATGCTAAATCTAACCAGTTCTTGAAAAAGATGCCCATGTACAATTCTGGGAGTGGTGGTCCAAAAACAATGACTTATCTAACTTCTCAGAACACCTGGGTAGAATGTCATTACTCTGACTATGTTGTGTGGGTATTTTTTTTTCCCCATTTAGGATGTAAAACTGGTTTGGTTTCCACCTCTAAATGTAACAACTTCCATCCTTTATCCTTGCCTTTGCTGGTTCGTGGGCACACGCAAAGAGTTCACTGGGTTTAAATTGCGATGCGGATTTAACATGCAGCCCATGGACCTAAAGGTGCCTAAATGAGCAGTTTTCTAGGAGAGTGTGCTGCTCAAGCTCCGTTAACTTCAAAGGATTCACAACGAAATCCGATCTTATTGATCCTGCAGGTCTATTCTACTCAGGAATACCAATAGGATTCTGGACAATGTGGTTTTTAACAAAAGATAAAAGGCAAATAGGCATGGAAAGGGGCATAAGTATCTTGGTCTATGTCCTATCCTTCTCTCATAGACTGCTGTCAAAACTCTCTTTTTTTCTGGTCCCTTGACGATTGAGGTCATGGTCTCTTTAAATAACCCCAGGAATCAAGTGTTTTCTTTAGTAATCTTCACTTCTTTCTTCCCTTCTCCTTTCACTGCCACCACCCTTTAGCTACCTCTATGTGTGTGGTTTTGCTCCTTCATTCAGGCACCTTCCATATATCCAGTCCTCAAGTCTTGAGCCCCACACCATTACGCTTGAATTCATTCAATAGGTTTTAATTAAAATAACAGTGTCCAAAGAAAGTGGTTTAGTCTTAGGCTTTAAATTCACACAGCACCGTTCTTCACCCTCCCTACCACCTCTCTTCCTCCTCAGACCCCCAGCTTTTTTATCACAAACCACGGTCTCCTATATCTCTCTACCCCTGAGTCTGCTCCGAAAATGGAACCACCACTCAATTGCCTTAGTTCCTCTCCCAACCCATCAGACCCACCCATGCGTCTCATTCACTCCCCTCTTGGTTAGTTAGACATCCTTCAGCCTCAAGAGATGATTGTCACGTGCTCTGAACAGAGGTCTTGGAGCAGTGTCTAGTGTGGCTGAGAAGGCCAATTTGAGAGGGACCATCCCCTTCTACACTGAAGACAGATACATTTTGTCCCTTGTCCAGCTCCTTGCTGCTTTCGGGACGGCCTCTTTGCCTCGGCCTGCTGGACAAGGCTCTCTTCAAATTGGGAGAGGCCATGCTGCACTGCCTGCCTCCAGGCTGAATGTTCAGATGTCAAATGTCTGAGACATTTGGAGGAGAAAGAATAAAAAGCATTTCTTTACTTACAATTGCTTGAAATTACAGACTCCTGTATGCTGCTTTCTTTGCCTTTTGGTAATAACTGCCATGTTATTATCTTGCCACTTTGGCCCTAACAGCCTGTTTCACTGAGATGTTTACTTCCAGTTTACGTAGTTTGTTCTTGTCCTTATGTGCTGTCCACCCTGGTCAGACACATGGTAAGGTTTTGAAGGTGTTTGTGAGATATTCAAGGAATGGTTTACTATTGTTAGCCCAGTGACTTTCCACATCTGAGAAAATATTTGAACCCACGGTTCCTGAGTCTTGGTCCATCTCTCTACCCACTACACCACACTGCCTCAGTGTAGCTTTGTTGTTTTCTCCCAGTTGTAAATGCCCGGTGTTTTTTTCCTCTACGCTTTGTAAATAAATCTACCTCTTTCCAGGTGCATATGTGCTTTATTCCACAGGCAAACCTCACAGTGTAAAACCTGCCCTTTTTAGAAATGGCAATTATTCTGCATTTCTGTGTTGTCGGTTTCCCACTGCAGAATATAATTTCTTATTCTTTTCCATTCTTATGAACCAAAGAGACCAAGCGATACTCTTTTATTAATTAGCCCAAATGCCATGTCCATAGCAGGAAGCAATCAAAGGATCCATTAGCATGCAGGACGCACCGAACATGACTTACATTGTTATCTCATGCACGCATGAACTCCAGGAAATGCAGTGCTGGGAATGCTGAACCGTGGACTGTGCAATAATAAATGTCAACTGAAAAGCACCCAGCACAGCGTTCTTCTTAAAAGACCATCAATAAAACAATACTGAGGAAAGAGGAAGTCTCTGTGTGGCCTTCATCCAAAGCCTTTCTGTTCAAGAGCCAGTCTGTTCTGTGGATAATGATGTCCAGTTTAAGACAGGAGATTCAGAACCACCTATGTACCCCTCCAGTGTGGCGTAGTAGATACCACAAGGGACCAGGACTCAGAAGGGCTGAATTCGAATCCCCACTCAGCCATGGAAACTCACTGGGGTTGTGGAACTTGTAAAACCATTCCTTAAATATCTCAAATATTTTCTTAAATACCTTAACATTTTCAGCGAAGAAACTGATATAAACAGGTTGTATCCCTGGGACGTGGTGGCGCTGCGGGTTAAACCGCAGAAGCCTCTGTGCTGCACAGTCAGAAGACCTGCAGTCGTAAGATCACATCCATGTAATGGAGTGAGCCCCCATCGCTTGTCCCAGCTCCTGCTAACCTAGCAGTTCGAAAGCATGTAAATGCGAATAGATAAATAAGTACCACCTCGGTGGGGAAGTAATGGCATTTCATGCCTAGTCGTGCTGGCCACGTGACCATTTCGTGTCTAGTCGTGCTAGCTACGTGACCATGGAGGATTGTCTGTTACGAATGGCTCCATCAAGTTACGAATGGCTCCGTCCGCAAAATGTTGCTTCGACTTGTGAACGGAGCCTTGACTTGCGAAGGGAAAAAAAAAAACCTTTCCTGCCTTTTTTTGACCTAAGTTCATGTTAGGTCAAAGGAAGAAAAAGTGGTTGAGTATGGATTAACAGGCTTTGCATTAGTTCCTATGAGAATTAATGCTTTGACTTGCGAACAGCGCCTCGACATATGAACGAAAAATAGCTTGAATGGATTAAATGATTTTCAATGCATTCCTATGGGAAATCTTGCCTCAACTTATGAACTTTTTGACGTATAATGCCATTCCAATACGAATTAAGTTTGTAAATTGAGGTACCACTGTATTGATTTTATTTTATTTACAATTTTAAATGCCATGTTTCCCCTGAAAATAAGACAGTGGACAAATGCTAGCTCTACGGGTTAGAAACGGAGATGAGCACCGCCTCCTAGAGTCGGACACGACTGGACAAATTGTCAAGGGGAACCTTTACCTTTACCTATCCTTGTTTCACTCATCAATCCAAATGGAGACTGCAGCCAAGAAATTAGAAAACTGAGACTCAGAAAAGCAGCCATGAGAGAACCAGAGATGATCATCAACCAAAAGGATGTGTCACTAAAGACCAAAATCATCCGCACTCTTGTATTTCCGATCTCCATGTATGGGTAAGAAAGCTGGACAGTAAAGAACAGGACAGCTGGACAGGGGGAAAAATCATTTGTTTGAAATGTGGTGCTGGAGGAGAGCTTTGTGGATACCCTGGAGTGCCAGAAAGACAAACAAGTGGGTCCTAGATCAAATCAAACCTGAACTCT